GGCTGCCCACTTCCTTAAATTGAACCTGTCCAAAACAGAACTTCTGGTCTTTCCTCACTCAAGTGTTGTTACTCCTGTTTCTATCTCCCTCAACGTTAATATTGCTACTATTAGCTCCACCACACAGGCTCGCTGCCTAGGTGTTCTCTTTGACTCCAACCTCTCCTTTACCCCTCATGTCCAGTAGATCGCGAAATCCTGCTGCTTCCATCTCAAAAACATTGCGCAATCTGCTCCTACTTAAAGCCAGATGTGGCTAAGGTGCTAGTCCATGCCACTGTCCTCTCTCGCCTTGACTACTGCAATCCACTTCTCAGTGGTCTTACGTGCTCCCAACTTGCCCCATTATAGTCTATAATGAAAGCGGCGGCTAAGCTCTTCTTCCTGTCCGCCCGTACCTCCCATGCCTTACCACTCTGTCCGTCCCTTCATTGGCTTCCCATAAGATATAACAATAATAATTTATAATAATAATAATTAGCATTTTTATAGTGCTTTTCTCCCTGTGAGACTCAAAGCTCTTTACAGGTATACAAACATAAAGACATAAGTTAGGAGTTTCTAAAGGTCAGCTGAGCGGACTGAATGGCTCATGGAAGAGGTGGGTCTTTAGCTTTTTTAAAAAAGTCTGGAAGGATGGTGCCTCTCTGATTGCGCACGCTAAAGAGTTCCAGAAGGTAGGGGCAGCGTGTCTGAATGCTCTTGGCACTGACAGGAAGGATTTGCTGGCTGACCGAAGTGAATAGGATGGAATGTAGGGTGTCAAGAGCTCTTTCAGGTATTGTGGGCCTTGATTGTTTCAGGCTTTGAGGGTTAGCAGGCCAATTTTAAAATATGTTCGCCATTTAATTAGAAGCCAATGCAGGGAGTGGAGAACAGGTGTTATGTGGCAGGAGCGAGTTTGGTTGGTCAGTAGTCTGGCTGTTGCATTTTGTACAGTCTGAAGGCGATGGAATTTTTTCTTCTGGGAGGCCCAAGTAAAGTACATTGCAGTAATCTAGCCGAGAGGATACAAATGCATGGATTAATGTTGGCATATCATCCGGTGGATAAGTGTTGTATCCTGGCTATGTTTTTCAGATGAAAGTAGGCAGATTTTATTACGGAGGAAATCTGCTGTTTAAATGATAGTACAGAGTCAATCAGCACTCTGAGGTTTTGTACCTTTGATGAACTGATGGGTTCAGAGTCTCCAAGCTCCAGGCCAGTTGGGTGATCATGGGAATTTTTTGTTGCCCGGGGTCCCCTTACCAAGAGTAACTCTGTTTTGTCCGCGTTCACGTTAAGCCAGCTAGCATTATTCCATTCTATGAGGTCTGCTAAGCAACTGTTGATGCGGCATGTTGGGTCTTTGGTATCTGGAGCAAAGGAGAAGTAGAGTTGTGTGTCATCAGTGTAACAATGATACCTTAGGCCATGTCATCTAATGATGTCCCCCAGTGGTAACAAGTAAATTGCGAATAGCATGGGAGACAACATGGATCCTTGTGAAACTCCGCAGGCCAGTTCTGTTGGGCTGATGAGTTTGATCCTGGTGTTACTTTCTGTGATCTACCAGTGAGGAAAGATTTAAACTAGTTAAGGACTGTGCCTCCTAGACCACAGATGTGCTGCAAGCGCTCTATTAAAATCCTATGGTCAATGGTGTCAAATGCAGCCAAGAGGATTAGGATGGAGTAATCATCTTTGTCTCTCGCCAAAAGAGATAACAGGAAGCAGACATGTCAGCAGGCAGAAGGTCTTTTCCACCGCTGTGCCGCTTCGGGCCCCTTAGACTAGCACCACTTGGACTAGCGCTGTTTCAGTGCTGTGGTGGCATCTGAAACCTGACTGGAAAGGATCAAAGATGTTCAAGCTTGATAGATGGGCCTCCAGTTGAGTTGCCACTACTTTTTCAATTATTTTCCCCAGAAATGGAAGGTTGGATACTGGTCTGTAATTAGCCATGCAGTCTGGGTTTCTTTTAGTTGATCTGGGAAGTCTCCAGTTTTTAGTGAACACTGCACTATTTTTGTGAGGGTTGGGGCGAGTGTTTCAATGCATGCAGATATAAGCTGAGTTGGCGCAGAGTCTAAGTCACATGTAGTAGGGTATAACCTTTGCATGGTTCTTTTAACTCCCTTTATATTCACATGTGTAAAAGGGCTCAATTTAAAATTCTGGTTCTTGCTTTTAAATCTCTACATAATGCCGTTCCTACCTATCTATCCTCCCTTATGCTAATACTAATTAATCAGGGTAACATGCTTGTTGGTGGTGAATTTAGGTAACCTTTTGTCCTCATCATCATTATGTTAACTTATGAGCAGTGCAGCACTCCCTGCATTGACAATGGCACTGAAAAGGCACAATCCTCTAGCCTCCTGCCATGTTCCCCTGGCCCTACTTCTCCTCCCTTTTGTTTGTGTGTCACATTGGTCCACTTCTTTTTTCCCCATCTACTTCTGGCTTGTAGATCTTTAATTGTATGTACTTTGAGGGGAATGATATTAGGCTAACAAAGTCAGTTCATTAGGCATAATGTTGAAAAACACAAATCTCTGAAGCCTGTACGTTGGTATGAGATAATTCGAACTGGATTTTCATGCCAAAACATTGTCAAAATGTATAACACTTTTAGGGAGATTGTCTTTCAGCGTGAGGAGCATGGTTGGGTAGGGTTCTTTCAAATGGATAAATTGGTCACATATTGGTAATGGTATTTTTTAATGTGGTCTTCAAAGCATATTGGAAAGAGCCATGGCTTTCTGGGAGGCTAGATCTCTTCTGGTACCATAGATAGCCAGGTATCACTCAACACCTGGGGCTCCCTTCCGTCAGATGGGCCATATTTAGTGGTCCCACACTGACTGATGAGCTATGTTCAGTGCTGGGTCACTAAATATAGGAAACACTGCTTATAGACTTTTAAAGCATAATGGATGAAATACCTTCTTCAGTTATGTTGATTCTATAGGAATAAAAAAAATACGGCTAAAAAAATACACCACTGTGTTCTGTATTCATGGAAGATGAATAGCTACTAGACCTAGAAAGGTGCTGTTGCCCCCAAGACTTCAGAGGTTTAATCAATCTCATCCTGCAATTTCAAGCTCTTCCTTGATGATTGATTGCCCCCACAGTCACAATATCCACTTTGATTTTCACCCATTTGTGTAAAAACTGATGTTTTAAAATGTTTTAGGGCTCTGAAGACAGCCAGGAGTTCAAGAATACTGGAGCGGGTATTTCTTGCAGAGAATGTCCATTTCACTTGGACAAAATTGTTCTGAAGATACAATCCCCAACCCTAGTGGCTGGCATATGTACTGACCACAGTCAATGGGATATTTCTCAGGGTAGAAACCCTGAAATCAGAATTTATTTTGTAACCAAGACATCAGGCATTGAAGAACATGAGATGGAATCCTGATAGGCTGCAGGAGATTCCCTGACCTGAATTGGTGAAGCAAATTCTCTTAAAATATCCTCAGGCTCCATTGTGCCGACCTTGTCAGAGTTATGATGGAGGACCTGGAACCTTAGAGGCTCATCACTTTTTTGAGAGGTTACATTGACAGGCAACATTTCTTTAACCTTTACTATATGCCTTTTTCTCCTTTCTTGAGAGAGATAAACTGTGCCTTAAACTGTGTTCAACATTTCTTTGACCTTTGTTATAAGCCTTTTTCAATATTCTTGAGAGTGATGAACTGTGCCTTGGAATGTGTTGATAAGGGCACCCAGATATAACATGGTCTTGGAGGCAATGATCTTCCAGCCGTGCTGCTGCAGGAACTGAGGGCAAAGCTGACCATGGTCTATCATAGTGCTCATATTGTCTGCCAGGACCAATATATTGTCCAGATAGTGGTAAATGGCTATGCCCTTATTTCTTAGTTCTGCTATAAGTACCACAAGTATATTGGAGAATGTCTGCAGTGTGGTGCTGAGACCAAAAGTAAGGGTTCTGAATTGGAAATGCCCTACCTCTATGGCAAATCTGAGGAATCTCATGTTGGGCAATGGTAACATGAAAATCAGCATCTTGCAACTCTGTAGACATCGTCCATTGCCCTGAGAAGACTGATTTTATGATGGACTGTAGTGATTACATCTTTAACATGCATATGTTTAGGTATATGTTGAGTCTGTGGAGATCCAAAATAAGTCTCCATCCTCTTGAGGACTTTATGGTGAAGAACACATAGGAATAGAATATTTCTTTCTGCTCTTGGAACTTTTATCAAGACACCATCTTTTTGAAGGGATGAAATTAATTTTAGCAGAGCAACTCTTTTTATTTGCCTACTGGCAATTTAGAAATTGTGACCTGGTGCAGCTCTGTATAGCCTTGATGTGCAATGTCAGTGAAGAAGAAATAGAGGTACAGCAAAACCATAAATCAGCTTTGGTTTCCTTAAAAGATATATGAGACAATAAAGGCTCATAGGATAAAACTGTAAATGCACTTTAGTAACAAATTAAGACACAGTATAACACACTAACATTTCAATAAGCACTACAAGCAGTGCAATAATAACATGAAACACAAGGAGGGATAAAATCAGTAAGAGCCTCTTACCCAATGCATTATGTTTGTGGAATACATTTTTAAGGGTATAAATCAAACGGTATTTGATATATTTTTTTAACATTTATTTATTTATTACTTTTAGAGGATGTTTATTTCCTGACCTTGGAGAACAGGAAGTTGATACTGAGGCACAGTAAGAAGAAATGTCCAGAAGGTAAGTGGTCTAAGGAGAGGTCTGATAAAACACCCTGGAGCTAATGTCACCTGCCCCCTCCACCTCCCCCCAAACCATGAATTTTTTTTATTTATTATTCCTTTCCCCGGCATCTCATTAACAGGACTAGAGGCGTTGGTGAGAGGAGATGATTTCAACCCGAGCATGCAAGCTCAACTAAAAGCATTCAAGAAGCAGCAGAAGGGATAAACATTCGGTCCTACTGCTGCAAGAGGACAATCTAGGCTTCTCTGCAGCTGAGAAGATGATTAGCAGTCGTTAAATTAGAATGGATGGGAGGGAAAAAACTGTTACCCTATTTGTGCATATCCCTCCCTGAAAATGGCTTCCTGGCAGTGAAGGGGTTAACAGGGCACTTCACAATACATTCAGGTCTGCAGCAGGACCTACGATGCTCCAAGACCCGAGCAGCCCTCAATTAATGTGACCTCACAGTTTAAAACAGCATTTCATGCAGAAATACATAAAAACACCAAGTATGGCTGCACACATCCATGTGTCAGACACCGTTCTCCTACTTAAAAGGGCAGATACCCAAGCAACATTTCATATCTCCAGCAGTCGTAGCCCAATGACCAACAAATCCCAAAAGCAGAGGGAATCTTTATAAAAGAACAGTTAAACAACTGACCAGGCACCACAGAAATTCAACATGGCAGAACTTGCAGTGGCTGTAGAGGAAGCATATCTACTTAGGTCGGACTAACTTTAGATGGATAGAGGTGTGTAGATATACTTAGTATCACTATACCATGTAAGTGCATTTCTATATAATTTCTAGCATGAAAGAATGACATGCAGATATAACCCTTTTGTGAGGAGCCAGATTCAAAAGTGCCAGGTAAATCCCTGAACAGCAAAAACTGCAGAAGTGACTGGTTACAAAGGATCCTTGGGGAGGCAGAGGAAGGGACAGGGAGGGGAATGAGGAGATGACTGGGACACCGTAACAATAGGACACCGTAACAACAGAGTTAAAAGACCACTCTAGGCACCCAGACCACTTCGGCTTAATGAAGTGGTCTGGGTGCCAGGTCCAGCTAGGGTTAACCCATTCTTTTATAAACATAGCAGTTTCAGAGAAACTGCTATGTTTATGAATGGGTTAAGCCTTCCCCTATTTCCTCTAGTGGCTGTCTCATTGACAGCCACTAGAGGCGCTTGCGTGCTTCTCACCGTGATTTTCACAGTGAGAGCACGCCAGCGTCCATAGGAAAGCATTATGAATGCTTTCCTATGCGACCGGCTGAATGCGCGCGCAGCTCTTGCCGCGCGTGCGCATTCAGCCGACGGGGAGGAGAGGAGGAGGATCGGAGGAGGAGAGCTCCCCGCCCAACACTGGAAAAAGGTAAGTTTTTACCCCTTTCCCCCTTCCAGAGCCGGGCGGGAGGGGGTCCCTGAGGGTGGGGGCACGAGTATGTTTTCCTGGCACTATAGTGGTCCTTTAACAGGAAGCAGACATCACAGCAGGCAGAAGGACTTTTCCACCGCTGTGCCGCTTCGGGCCCCAAGGAGACGTCTTGTGAAGGAATGGTGCCCCAAAACTGGGAAAATCCTCAGAGCTGCTCATGTCGGGAGCCTTCTCATTGCCGCCTCCTGCTGTCCATGGAGCATCTCTCACAACAAAACTCTTTGATGCAATTTGGATATTTTGACCCCACATTTGAAATTCACTTTCAATTCACTTTGAGTTGCCCTAGACTACATATTACATTTTTACAAAATGCTACATGATATATTATGTAGCAAAAATTAACTTGAAAATTAATTTAAGGATGAACAGCAATTCCAAGCCCCCATGTAGCGGATTTGGCACTGGAAGAAAAGGGGAATGGAATGGAGAAGAAAATGTTGTTGTAACGGATCGCCTGGCACCCAGACTGGGTACCTCCGTTGAAGGATGCTCCTAGCGCTTCCTGAGGACTCCAAGTACTGCAGCAGACACCACAATCACTGAACCGGAGAAGCGTATACCTTCTCTCAAGCATATGAATGCTGTAGACCGTTGAATAGGAACCATACGAATAGGTTTACTCTCCTAGCAGTCAAACTGGAACAGCATACAATGAATCCTTCCCCCAATAATGAGACGACACTTCACTTTGAGGGTTAAAACAGGAACTCCTGTGCTGGCACACCCAGCCTGGTATCCACTACAGTCCTTCACATACAGGACCGCCCACAGGGAGGTACAAAACAACCAACCACACATCAGCCACATCCCACACACTCCCTCCCCTCATCCTGAGAGGAAACCCAACCACACATACAGTCAAAACACACTCTCTACCCAACTCTCACAACTCCAAAACCATACATCACATTCACACAAAATCACACATTCACAATCAATCCAATCAGGGGAACAACATATTAAAAAATGGCATGAACCAGACCAGGGGCTCAAAAGTCAGCAAAAGCATCCTTTGGGCCCCGGCCGGCACATGGCTATCCGGCTCAAACAGGTTCCACAGAGCCCTCTATCCTGGAGACAATGGGGAAAGCAATCCAACCATCCAGGGACAGAGGCAGTCTCCATTGAGCACATGGTTGCAAAAAGACACAAAACACTTCAAAACACACAAAGTCACCCTTCACACACAACACACAGACACCTCACACATCCCCAGACAGCTGGGATCTGAGCGCTCAAAACCACCGAACAGCGCTCAGATCCCACTCACACAGTTCAATTGCCATGGAGCCGAAGTCTCCAACTACACGAATGGGCTCCATGGCACAGCCATCTGGGCCAACACATTCACACAAAGTCTGGTCCATAGTCCAAAGGCAAGAGGCGGGCAAGCAGCCCCCTCCAAGGACACGTGGCGAGGCCAGTTTCGCCACATGTGTTTTTTTTTCAATTTTGTTGTGGCCAAATAAGCAACTTAGGCATCAATTAAATATTTCTGGATAAGCTTTTCAAGTAATTGTGGGAAAATGTATCAAAATGGTTTAATATATGGAAAAATATTTTAATACTTTTTGATATATTGATTTTATTTTATATGTGTGATACATTTTTTTTTTTTTTTTTTATATTTTTTTTTTTGTAGTGCTTAAGGTTACATACAGGCTAGCAATGACAGCAGGAGCAAGCAATTCAGCAATAATCATTGTCATGGCAGAAAAAAACAGTACTTTTTTTTTTTGTTAGAGAACACTAGCTAGGCATACATGAATTCACTATACTAGAGTAACCAGGTTAGGTAAGCATGAGGAAACCCAAGATATATTACACAGACTAGGTCTGCATGAGTAAACCCCAAAATGACAATTGGCATGTCGAGTTAGTCCCCATATGAGGCCCCCGTAGTGGCAACGAGATATAAGAGATAGGTGTTATGAGGTATGCAGGGCAAGAGAACAAGAATAAAACTAAATTAAGTAAAATTAAATAAACGGTCAAACAATGAGACAGGTAAGTCCCTCAGCAAACATTATTAGAGTGGCACATGGTAACCAGGAATTACAGAGTGATCTATCCCCAATCCTGTTTCATCGTTTGCCCACCGTGGGCAGAATATAGTCCGGCATCAGGTAGGGATATGTCATGTCTCCATTTCCAGTAGTGTGAAAGCTGCTACAGACATAGATCGAAAACTGAACTCCCTTCAGTTTTTCTGACACTGCCCAGGCTTCAGCTGTAGATTGCCCCCTCGACTATCTCTGTATCACCTTAGCCAGGAGGCATGTGTTTTGCACTCTTCACCGCCATCTCAGGCCCCTCTGAGCAACTGGAACAGAGTTGAGTAGTGTGTCGTCAGGTAGCGCTGCTCGACTGCAGTGAATCATGTTTGTGCATTTTGTTCTCCAACTTGTGCCAGAACTCAGCAAATATTCTGTCCAGGCTGACCTGGACATCTCGCTGGGACCATAGATGCTTGCGGCGTCCACCATCTTAGATGTGTCTCTGCTTGTGCCATCCTACCTCGTGCTCCAACAACATCAGGGTAGCCTATCAGGGGGGACCAGGGTCACCCCCACTGGTCCAAGGGTGGGCACCTCCGTGACAGGAGATCATCAGCTTTTCCCACCCGATGCCCACCAGACTGCAAGGTTGGACACAAGGTGAGTAGGCTCCTATTGGGCCGCTGATCGCCACTCAGTTTGCCCTCTGTTGTAAGGGTTAAGTTTGGCTGCTGACGGTCCAGATAGGGCATATAAAGGCTGTTGACAGTGGTTTTGCTTAAGATTATGCAGGAGCCCAGGCAAGACATGTCTCTCCGCCATGATGGCCAGCCCCCCCCACTCTTCCCCCATATGATACATTTTTAAAATATAAAAAAATAATAATTTGAACAAATAATTTAAAAATTAAGGCCTTAGTTTTCCATGAAGGTTAAGAGGCCTGCCCAATCATGTGGGCTGGATCTCATATCCAATCAAGATGATTGATGATTAGGGGATCACCAGAAAATGTTGATTTTATTCACAGATCTATTGAGAACTGACCTTTACAGGGAGAAAAAGGAGAAAACAGTAAAACAATTTATGCTATCAAACAGGAGTTTTCTAGACATTTGCCTGCAGCATCTGAGGGAGATAGATCAGAAGTGATACTGTGTGTGTGATCCTTGCTGTGCCTGTGTAGGAGTGGAAGATAACCCGGGTTATTGATTCAAGTTTGAGACAAGGTTTAGCTTACGGCTGTACCTAGCCATGGGCGTCCGCAGGAATTTTTACAGGGAGGGGGCATAATTGTAATGATATCCATGCCTGGTCCCTTTTTGACCATGTCATGAAGGGGAGGAGCATAGTCATTATCACATAAAGCCAGGGTGAAAAGCGTTTTCACAACTATGGTGTCAGGAATACATGTGTGTATTCCTGATGCTATAGTGTTTCTTTAGGCAAATTAAAGGAACGTTCTGGTCACCATAACAACTTCATCTAAATGAAAATGCTATGATGCCAGGAAGCCCCTGGGTGCTCTCTTTCTTTTAAGGGGTTAAACCGCTCTCAAATGGTTTAACCCCAAAGGCTTCCTCCAGCTCCAGATTTACAGGTCGCTCAGTGGTATTCGGCTTCTGAAACGGAGTGTCAGGAAGTGCAGATTGACGTCAGGCATGGGTGCTACAGACTGGCTAGAGTGGTCAGTTGACGCTCTAAGCCAATCGCTAGTTCCCGGTTCATAAAAATGTTTTACTTTTTTATGAATGGGGAGCTACTGATTGGCTTAGAGTGCCAGCTGACCGCTCTAGCCAATCAGCGACACCCCTCTGTGCTTCCTGACACTCTGTAAATAAAAGTGAACACATTAACACTGATATTTTTACTGGGGGAGATGAGAAGGTCCAAAGTTTCCCTGCCAGGCCCAGGTACCAAAGCCTTATGATGTGGTGTCCAGAATAACGTGGAGGGTTCACTTGTATTTCCTGCTCTAATCTCATTTTCTTCTGCTTCATTTGACACTTTCTTCTTTTTCTTCTGACACTGTCTTCTCTCCTCCTTGGCTCCTTCTGCTCCTTTATCTTTCTGCTCATTTCTGCTTATTTTTCACCTTTCTGCTCCTTTCTGCTCCTTTCTCTTGCTGATCTCTTTTTACTCCTTGCTATCCTTTTCTGCTCCTTCTCCTACTTTACCTTTGTGGTCCTTCTGATTCTTTCTGCTCCTTTACCTTTGTGCTCCTTCTGTCCCTTTCTGCTCTTTGCAGACCCTTCCTTCTCCTTGCAGCCCCTTCCTGCTCATTTCTGTTCCTTCTCCTACTTCACCTTTGTGCTCCTTCTGTCCCTTCCTGCTCCTTGCTGACATTTTCAGCTCCTTGCTGACCCTTTCTGCTCCTTCTACTTTACCTCTGTGCTGCTTTACCTTCCAGCTCCTTGCTGACCCTTCCTGCTCCTTGCAGATCCTTCCTTCTCCTTGTTGACCCTTCGTGCTCCTTGCAGACCCTTCCTTCTCCTTGCAGACCCTTCCTGCTCCTTGCTGCCCCTTCCTGCTCATTTGTGTTTCTTTGTGTGCCTTCTCCTACTTTACCTGTTGTGCTCCTTGCTGTCCCTTCCAGCTCCTTGGTGCCCCTTTCTGCTCAATTCTATTCCTTCTCCTTTCTGCTCCTTCCTGTCCCTTCTAGCTCCTTGCTGCCCCTTTATGCTCATTTCTATTCCTTCTCGTTCCTTCTCCTTTCTGCTCCTTCTCTTACGTCAACTTCCTGGTCCTTGCTGACCCTTCAAGTAGGCTGCCCCCCCCATCTCTCACTTACCTGATCTATAGGCTGTCCCCCCATCCCTCACTTACCAGATCTATAGGCTATCTCTGCCCCTCATCCCTCACTTCCCTGATCTGTAGGCTATCTCTGCCCCCATGCCTCACTTCCCTGATCTGTAGGCTATCTCTGCCCCCATGCCTCCTCTATCTGCCCCCCATGACTCACCTGATCTGTAGGCTATCTCTGCCCCCCCATGACTCACTTCCCTGATCTGTAGGCTATCTCTGCCCCCCCATGTGCCTCACTTCCCTGATCTATAGGCTATCTCTGTCCCCCATGTGCCTCACTTCCTGATCTATAGGCTATCTCTGCCCCCCATGTGCCTCACTTCACTGATCTGTAGGCTCTCTGCCCCCCATGCCTCACTTACCTGATCTGTAGGCTGTCTCTGCTGGCTGTATGTGTAGCTCCTGTGTCCCACCCCCCCCCGTGG